GATTTTTGTCTTCAAAAAATTAAGGTAGACGGATAATCATGAAATGAATATCAGCGAAAGAATGAATATAGAAGGTATCTGTGTCTCACATTTCCAGTTGTACTAATACCGTACAGAGGAAACATAAGAAAAGATTAACAGTCAGCATTGCTGGGAAGAGGAATTTAGGATGATTTATTTTTTCCTCTATAATTAAAAATCTTCTGCTTATACTACTTACATGTAATTTTTGTAATCACTGAGGAAAAACTCAGTAAATGTTAAAAAAAAAACAGTCACTGCTGACTGTGAAAGAAATACCGTGTTTGGCTTCAGGACCTCCTGCTAATCTCCTTTTCTTATTTCCCGTCTCTTCATAAAGCCCTGGCCACGCCGTCGGATGAGCAGGCCCTCTTGCTTCCTTGCACTGCACTCACACTCTTACCTCTGCCCGCTCTCCTAGGCCTACCGCGCCCCTCCAAGAACTCAGTTCCATCTGGTGGTGAGCTTCTCACTGCCGATTTAGCAGAACTTTCCCAAAGTCCCCCTGTACACATCCTGCTCACAAATTCCTAAGTCACTTTTGTCTTTGCGTAGCAATCGCCTCTTACAAGGAAATACCATTCCTGACGATGTATTTTCTTCCTTGAATAGTTACCTTAGGCAACTCTTTTCAAACTTGCTGGATGTCTTTTGTGGTAACTCGAATGGATACAGTAGGGCCTAGTTATAGTGGTTATCTGACCTGGATAAACAACCACCTTACACACAGCGATAGAACACAGTAACTGTTACAGTTTGTGCTTGGGTTTAATGGAACAGTTCTGGTCTCTGAGTTATTTGCTGGAATTATAGTCACTGGAAGGTTTGCTCGTGTTGGCTCATACAAGAGGGTACGCTGTTCCTGGCCCTCGGTCCTGGCGCTTGGTGGGAAGCTCTGTGAGGCTGGTTTTTCCAAGGAGCTGGAAGAGGAAGTGGGCAAAATACAACAGTCCTCAAAGGAGGGAAACAATAACCATTAGTCTCTGGAGAGCCTAGGTCTGGGCGTTACAGGGACATGTCTGCCACATTTTATGGGTCAGGTAGGCAGCCCCCACTCAAGGGAGGGAAAACTGTGCTACCCGTCAGTGAGGTGAGTGAACAAGTATTGTCTGCTCTACTGAATAACCACAGTGGATTTATTTATTCAACCAACACCAGAAAGCAACTGTTATGAGCATTTGTGTAGGTGCTGGGAGTATGGCAATGAAAAAATATCCAACAGCAGAGTTCCTTACTGATTGTGAGACTTTTATTTCACCAGGAAAAGAAAGAAGTTATGCAATACATTAGAAGAAAAGAGTATTACGAGCCAGGGGAGCATTATCACAGGGGCCCAGTATCTGGTTGCTCAGTGTAGCTACTGACAAGATGCCTTTTACTCCCGAAGTGCCTTAGTGTGAACGCGTATTTATTTGGCCTTGCTACTGTGTGTGTGGCCGGGGTGGGGGGCTTGGCAGAGAACACTGGAGTGCAGCATCCAGAGGGCTGCATCTCTGAGAACTTGAACCTGCACAGTGAAAGAATGCTGCCAAAGGGACACATCACCAAAGGTCTAAGAGAGGAGGGAGGGAAATTTGGGGCCCTATTTATGTGTTCAGACAGCTGAAAATTACGTTACACATGACAATGGGGAAAGATATTTTACGGCTCTATATATTACTTCGTGGATCAACTTGCAGGTGACGCTGCTTCTGACATAGTATGTTTTGTCACTGTTTAATTCAAGATACCCACGTCTCATATTTCTTGTTTCCAGGAGTGGAATGTTCATGTTACCTAAAAATACCTCTGGTACTGGAACTGTTTCTGACATGAATTCACCCTGGGCAGACACTTGAACAATCAGATGGGCGACTTTAAACTTATTAGTTGGCTTTGTTTAAATTAAGTTATTTCGATGGATATGTAAGAGCACAAAAACAGAGCATGCCAACGGGGTGCGGGCACCCCGACACCGTGTGCAGCGTCCACTAAGTTCAGCTGAACTCGCCTTTCATCGGAAATCTTCTCCTAGCCTGAGAGGTGCACCTATGTATGCGGCGGCTCAGCAGAACTTCCTCTCTCACTGAGGCGTACCTAGGGAGCCTGTCCCTGCATTAGTTTGGAGAACATTGTGAAGTATAAGTTTCACTCACCAGAGGGAGCTGTAATCATCTGAAATGAAGCGGGCTCCCTCACAGCCCAAACTTCAAGCACTCTCTAGAGTTTAGGCTTTTTCTTTGCAATACTTCATTTTCAAAACATTTTCCTTTCAAGTGCATCTCCTTTTTATTCTGTCTCCAGCAACTCCACCAAATAGATATATCATTTTTAAGTCAATGAATATTGAATTCATTTGAAATCATTTGAGCCATAAATACTGATAGCGGCCATGCACCAGGCGTGCCAGGTAATTAATTCACAGAACGGCGCAGGCACACGTGAACAAAGTCCGCGTGCAGACAGACATTTCTTGCCTTACATTTAGGTCTTGTTTTTCTCCTGAAAAACTGAATCTAGTTATACTATAATATCCTCTGAGTGAACAGTGTAATATTGTGTAAATATTAAATAGGCTGTAATATAATAACAATTCCATGTATTTTTGCCCATGAGGTGAAATTCAAAGTTTATATTCAAGTGAAGAAATAAAAATATCTTGGTGCCATAAATTGTGAGAGAGCTGGAACTGAAAAATCGCTTCATTCCATAAAGCAAGATCATGCAATAAGGCGAGATTGACACTATCCATAAATACAAATAGCATTAGTGTCTCTCAGAGGCTTGCTGTCGGTCAGCTTTCGCTTGCTTTGACTGTGACCAAGTACTTGAGGAAACCAAACAAAAGAGGAAAAGTGTATTTCTGCTCACGCTTTCAGAGGCTTCGGTCTGTGACAAGTGGGCTCCATGGTCTCTGGGTCTGTGGAGGACCAGAACTGCTCTGGGAGGGACATCTGGGCTCTGAGGAAGAGCAGCAACTTACCTGGTGTGGGCTCAAGAGTGGGCCTGGTAAGGACACAGCGTCCTGCTCTTCTGATCCGCCTGCACAGCACGGCACCCACCATGTCAAAGACACTCACGAAGAGGCTGCTAGAACCGCTTCAGAAGGTGACACGACGACTGGGGATCTAGCTCCGTGCTCTGTGCTCCTGCTGCCTGCCTTATGAGCTCAAGGTCCCAAGTTCGATCCCTGTGTACCAAAAAAAAAAAAAAAAAAAAAAAAAAGGGTGAAGGGAGGGCAGAGGTAAGGGGAAAAAATGAGAATCAAGACTTGCCATGCAGAGGTACATGATCCCAACAATGAATGTAACTGCACTGTATCCCTAAAATGTACCAATAAACTCAATTAAAGCTGAAAAAATAAAGAAAAGAGTGAGACTGGGCATGGCGGCACACAGCAATAATTCTGGTGGTCTTGGAGGCTGAAACAAGAGGATAAAAAATGAGAGCCCAGCCTGCAGCAGAAAAAAAAAAAAAAAAAAAAAAAAGTGACACGAACTACGGGCTAAGTGTGTGCAAGGTGTGGGGGGGTGTATTTTGATGAGGATTCATGGCAATGTGTCTTTCGCTACAATAATTTGTAATCTAAACAGTCACAGTGTTCTTCGTTGACCAGAGAGCATTTACTGCAAGGCCTTTCAGCAGGCATTCTGTGAATGTCTGCAAAATGGCTGTTCCACTGGCTCAACGCTGTCAGTCCAAGATTTCTCTGCCTCCCTTTACAGCATTCAGCTAGGAGCCCTCGGTTCCCCTCCTGTTGGATTTTGTTTCCTGAGGTCTAGATTGGCTTGGCTTTGCTCCTTTCCTTTTATGTTCTTTGCAACCAATGACCCGAGACCTGGCCCTGCCCCGTTGGTGTGGATTTTACCCCTGGACCTCTGGACAGATTATTAGTTGTCATTTCACGTGGTCACTGACGTGGCTTTGTTTTAGTGTGGTCTTTTTCTCTACTTATCAAAGTAATAATTTCCACTAGAGAATGATTTGGAAATCTCTCAGCTTGGTAACGGGGCGGGGGGAGGGAGTGTTTATTAAAGGTACAGACTGTGCCCCTGGTTCACTCCGAGGCCTTGGCCCACGTTCTGTTGAGAGCTTGGGACCCTCTGCAGGTCAGTTCCAGATCCAACTTACTGCCTAGCAAATGATGATTTGCGATTTTTTGAATCCATCCAAGTTTTCACCCGTAGAATTACATAGCTCTCTGAATTTGCCCTAAATTACTTCTCTCACAAAAGAAGACTCTGCCCAGCAGGCACTAAGTGAAGGCCCAAGGGTTTCCTTTGGCAAATGTAGTCTCAGAGCAGAATACTGGGGGTTGTCATCTTCCAGAGTGCTCTGGCTTCCTGTGCTACATCATGTCTCTCTATCCTACACCCCACCCTCCTTGTTTGGACCCTGTTTCCCCCAGAAGCAAAGAAAAAGAATCGTCCCCTTTCTCTAAGGAAATAACTCAGCTCTCTCTACACGCTGCACTTTCCATTTTCCATTTCTTTCATTATTTAACTTTTCATGAATATTTTTCCAAGCAAACGAAAACTTGATGAGTTACATTTTAATGACTATATTTTATTCTACTTCACTGGAACAAATAGCTTTCTTAACAACAATGGTTTGAAAATTTAAAGTGTGGCCAGCTTTTTACTTTTCTCAATCTTATCTGAAATTAAACATTTCCTTGTGAATCCAGTTTGTCTCACATTTCAGTCTAGTGTTTGCTTGATAAAAACAATTGTTCCACTGAAAAAATTATCATTACTTCGTCCTGTAAAGGAGTCACCATAAACCTGGACCAATTATTTGTGCATACTCCTTCACTTCGAAATCAGTTCTCACCCATGTTGGTATTTCTGAAGCCTAGGCCCATGCTAGCCCTCACCTGTAGAAGTTTGTGCTATCTGAGGTGATAATAAAAATCACGTAATTTAGCATTTACCTTATTTGCACTGTTTACTTTCCTCTTCTTGTGTATTATTATCTCTGTTTTGTGTCTCAACACACAGCCCATTTGTTCCCATTGGAAACGTTCCTCATCCTCCAACCGTGTCTGCAGGCAGAAGAAAGGCTTTGTGGACCTTTTGCCAAGACTGGCAGTGATAGCAGACTCACTGGACACTTCTCTTCCTTTACCGCCAAGAACAACGGAGAAGGGCGTCCAGGCCCAGTGGTGTCATGAGCAACGGGTCCTCAATGCCTGGTGGGAGCTGAGAGACCAGCGGCTGGGCCTGTTACCAGTGGATGCTGTGGTTCTCCTGATGTTCCAGGGGCTGAGATTCATGGCGGAGCCCTTGAAACGTCTGATCTGTTGTTCGTCCCAGTGCGCAAACGAGTACAGCTGCATAGTTTTGTCAGGTACTTTCCTGACCAGCAACAAACTGATGTTTAGATGATTGTTTCCAACAGTTTCGAGTGCGATGGCGCTAAAACGGCAGGTGGTGAGTTATTGATGGAGGTCTGATGTAAGTACAGTGATTTTATCTGTTATCACATCACTTCTTTCACTTCTACTGTCCTTTCTGCTTTGTACACTGGTATTCAAAGAGATATATAAGGAGGTGGCAGGCAATGATGTTAAATTACAGATTAAATACAGACCTCCATAGGGGCTGATAGGAGAAACAGCCCACCTGCCTCGCATCCCATTTCATGTAGGTGGTGCACAGAATGTTAAAAAGAATCAAATGTCCCGCAAGACCTCCTGCCTAAAACCGTGTGTGTAAATTGGACCAGGCATGAGAGAAGAGTGACAGATGATTCTGTGGCTGTCTCGCCCCGTGTGCAGGCAGGTGGTGACAACAGGCACTGATCTGACTCCTCAACAAATCTCCTAAAGGTTTCTTCTGGGCCGGCCTCTCCAATGGTTATGGTCTGGGTCTAAAATGTCCCGTACTGCCACCTGCTTGGCAAGCACATGGAGTTTGATCCCCGGTATAAAACAAAACAAAACAAAACAAACAAACACACAAAAACAAGTAAAATGTCCCCCAAAGCCTCATACACAGGCGGGGCTTTTCAAAGATGGCTGGATGGTGGGGCTGAGAGCTGACCTCTAGTTTGGAGACAGGTTCTGGTGGAAAAGGCAGGTCTCTGGGTGTGACCTGAAGGGTGACCACCCCCTTCCCAGTGCCTCCTTTACTCTGCCTCCCTCTGCCACGCTGTCCCTCCCTGAAGCCAGCAGACTATGGCTCAAAACCTCTACAATGTCTGAGCCAAGAGAAACCTTTCCTCCTGTAAGTTGTGGGTGCCTGGAATTGTGTTCCACTGATGAGAAAGTGACTAAGACATCGTCTCTCAGGTTCAATATTGCTGCCAGAGTATGAATTATCCTTTATCTGGTGCCTGCAGAACACTCTTCATTATACTGGTGGTGAAGAGTCCAGCTAGGAGGTTTATTAAATTTAAAGGTTGGCGATTGTTGTGAGCTGGATCCTGACTACTTTGACTACTTCCCAAGTTTTGGTTCTAAGGCGTAACTTCGGGAAGTATTCCTTGGTTGCTGCTATTAGGTGGTGTTGGCACAAAAAGGAGACTTCTAATTAAAATGATCACCCACTTTGCTCTGCGTTCAAGCATAGGTTCAGTTTGAAAATAGCAGACTTTACTTTTGGATCAAACCCAATAATTTTGTTTCCATTTGGAAGCTTTCTCTGAATTTCTCGTCCAATACTTAGCGGGCATGTGAGAAAAGCAGTAAGATTCCTTTCTGGGGTCTGTCCTGCTAGCCAGAGTGTGAGCTACTGTTGAGAGCCAATACTGAGCTATGCACGAGGACTTTCTGGCAGGACCCAAGGCTGTCTGTCCATCTAGCTGTGACCAAGCCAGCACTATTATGTACTAAATCAGGATTGTGTACCTAGTCCTTGGCAGAAGCTTCCTGAAAACTCTTACATTTAGAGTAAGAATAAAGTAATAAAAATTCCAGAGCAATGAGTACTCAGCTGGGTAAAGTGCTGGGTTCTTGATATCCTGCAGTGTAACTAACAACATTATTTCAATTTTTTTAACAGGTAAAGAAACACAGGATTAGGCTCAAAATTATTGTGAATTATTGTGATGGAGAATTCTGTGTTGTTCCATTCCAAAACATGCCCACCCCAATCAGGCAGTGATTGAAATTTCTGGAATTTCTGATGAGCTATGGATCTATAATTTTTGCCTCCATACAAATTCTCAAAAGTCCTGAGGTACTTGCCTGAAGGTTAGCTTCACTTGGTTCCATGTGCCACCATGTTCCAGTCTCAGGGAGGGCATCAGGATCCCAGCGTCACCTTCAAAATGGATAAGCACTGTTTCATGGACCTCGAACCGCAGATCTGAGAGAGTGATGGTGTGCATCATTTTTGTTTTATAATGGTTTACAATTATATTTCTAATAAAATGCAAGTGACCAAATCATCTTTCCAAGGATTCATAGCATTTAACAGTTGCTGTTTTCAACAGTAAAATATAGCTTTCTGGGTCATATAACTTTTCTCCTTGTTATAATGAGCGCTTTATCGTCACACAAAGTACATGAAAGTGATACTTCCTGAGAGCAGAGAGACTGGTGCTGGGTGCTGATCTTACTTTAATGAAGTCTTTCTGAGAATCCAGACTACTTATCTATCTTTACACAGTTATCTCCGATTGCTTACGAAGTACAATGTGCTGGGCCTTAGTCCCTAGAGGCTACCAATAGGTGTGTTGAGTTTCATTTTTAGACATTTAGCAAAATTTTATGGAAAGGATTTTCTAAAGGAAACAGTGGATTCATGTGGAATTTCTTGTTCTCTGTGCCATTTTACACATGAAACATCCTTCCTGCTGCCCAAGTATAGAAGCTGTGGTTTGGATCTTAAATGTCCCTGAAGGCTTCCTGTCCCCCAGCTCACGCACCATCAGCAGGTGCTGGGGTCTTTAGAGGGTGGGGCCCAAGGAGGAAGTGAGGTCACTGGGGTGTGGCCTTGGAGGGGTATTGGGAAACCAGCTGTCCTCTCTCCATATTTCCTTGATGTTGTGAAGTGAGAATCTTGCTCTACCACACATTCTTTGCCATGATCTTTGTCTTAACACAGCCCAAATGCAGTGGAGTCAGCCAACCAAGGACTGAGTCTTTTCAATCCATGAGCTAAAATTAATCGTTCCTCATTTAAATTGATTTTTGGAGGTATTTTGTCACAGTAAAGGAAAGCTGACATAACTACCATTTTACTGTTGAGGTTAGCTATCAAGATACAATGAACTTAAACATCAGAAAGGCAAACATTTGAATGTATGAAAAAGGAAAACCTTTATCTCCCACTTTTTTCTCCACCTATATTGTTGTTTTAATTATTTAGACATTACTGTGTATATTATTTTATATAAAACAAATCACATATTGTCTTTCTTATTTTAATTAAAATTCAAAAATATGTGCAGAACATTGTATTGCATTAGGTTCAATAACCTTGTTGACCTTTGTCTCTAACCCCTTTATTATTGGAATTAATAAGCTGGTGCTATGTTATAGCATGTTCTGTTATTCAATAGCTTTTCTTTATATGAGTGTTTCAAAATTAGCTTTCAATTCTTCACTTGATGAATCCACAAAAAGTTAATAGAGATAATGAATAAGTTCAGCACTGCTACAAATATTATGTGGAAATGATTTGTACTTCTATGTACTAATAATGAACAATTCAAAATTGAAATTGAGTAAACAATGCAATTAGCTTAGGCAAAATTTAACAAAAGATGTTTAAGACTTATTCACTCAAAAAAACAGAACATTGTACGAAAAGAATAATGAAAACTACAGGAAGAAAATAAAAATTTATAGATTGTAAGTGGATGCAGTTAAAATGAAAATATTTGAAAATTAAGTCTATAGATTCAGCACAATCTCTACAAAAATCTCAGAGGCCTTTATCTGGAAATTAACACAGTGATCCTACAATTTGTATAGAACTGTAAGAGAATAAAATAGCTGAGACAGTCTAAAAAAAGAACTTATACTTTCCAATTTCTTCATTAGAAAAACAAAAACAAAAACACAAAACTTCTACAGTAACCAAACCTAAGTGGTGTTGAAATAAAGACAAGCATTTATTCCAATAGAATAGAACTGAGAACCAGAAATAAACACATGAACAATAGATTTTGGTCAAGGGTGCCAAGAGAATTTAATGTGGGGCAGAATAGTCTTCAAAAAATGTTTCTGAAACTACTGGCTATCTCATTCGAAAGACTGAGGTTAGACCTCCCACTGTATACAAATATTAACTCAAAATGTATCAGACACTTATGTGAGAGCTAAAACTGTAAACTTCTTAGGAAAGATGAGTAAGTATTCATGGCTTTTTGTTAGGCAGTGATTTCTTTTATAGGACAAAAAAGCTCAAAAAGCGAAATAGATAATAGGCAAATTGAAATTAACAAATTAAAAATGTTTTAGTGTCAGAGGGCACCATCAAGAAAGCAAAACCACAATCCACAGAAGCATGAGGAAATATTTGGAAGTTATATATATTATGGAAAACTGTACCCAGAATGATACCCTTAAAATTCAGTCATATAAAGATAAATAACCCAATTACAACATGGTTAAAGGATTTGAATAGACATTCTACAAAGGAGATAGAACTATGAAAAGATGTACATTATCTTTAGCCATGAATGAAACATAAATGAAAAGGAGCTAAGCTTGCCAACATACTGTAGCTATCATAAAAGCTATGATAATATATGTATTATTTGTATATGCATATATGTATAATATATAACATAATAAAATCTATGATAGAAAATGTGAGGGAATTTGGAACAATTTAACCCTCATGCATTGCCTAAGTGAAGATGAAATCATGCAGCTACTTTAGAAAGCAGCCTGGCAATTTCTCAAAAAAAGTTAAGCAGCATCACGTTAGTATGTAGGAGTTTCACGCTTAAATGTTTGCTCAAGAGAAATGAAATTTACACAATCACAAAAACTTGTACATGAATATTGATAGCAGAATTATTAACAATAGTGCACTAATCCAGAGAAGAAACACCCCAGATGCCCATTAACAGAATAGGCACATGTGCCACAGTGGTACAGTGAAATAGTTTCCAGCAGTGAACAAGAATGAAGTACTGGCACGTTACCACGCGGGCGAGCCTAGAAAACTGTACAAGTAGAGCGAAGACAGTCGCAAAAGGCCACCTAGGATATGCGTTCATTTTAAAGCAAGCATTCGAATATTCGAAGGCAGATGTAGAGCTCCAGAGTGGATTTGCGCTTGCCTGGTGCTGTGGGGAGCTGAGGAGCAGGGTACACCTTAAGGAGAAGAGGGCTTTTGAGGGTTTGATCAGAATGTTCTAATATTGAATGATGCTAATAATTGTACAGCTCTCTGAAGATGTTCAAAGTCAGTGGATGAAGTATATGCATGTGAAGAAAGCTGTGCATCAGTTAAGGTATTACACAAATAACCCACGGGCCGGGGGTTTAGCTCGGTGGTTCTGCCGCCGGCCTTGCAAGCACAAGGGCCTGAGTTCGATCAAATAATTTTCCCAACGTTGTTCTTCTTTTTCAGAATTGTTTTGGGTAATTTACTTCATTTGCGTTTGTAAAAAGGTTTCAGAGCCCCTGTCAGTTTCTACTAAAAGTCCACCGGCGCTTGCAGATGATTACTCTATGAAAATACCGAGTCATCGAATCCACCAATGTGGCTTCTCCATTTATGCAGATCTTTAGCTTATGTTGTATAAGTAAATATTGTATATAAATGTTGTATAAGTAAATATTGCAACTACTTCTGCCATATTCACTCCTAAGCATTTTATATTTTTCAATGGTTTTGGAATGGTGTTGCCATCTTATTTTCATTTTTAGATTTTTATTGATAGAGTATGAATACTGTTGTGGTCAGGGTTTGCAAGGGAATAGATTTAAACAGGACACATAATTTATAGGATTATTTTATAATATTCACCAAAAAGTCAAATGCAGAGGAGAGCAAGAGATCTAACCATACACTAGAGACCCAAAATATCCAGCCAAGAGCCTAGATCCCATGGCAGAGTCCTGCAAAGGCCAGCTGAAGACACAGTGCCCAAGGCAATGACCTGCACGAATCCGGCCAGATACCTAGAGCCCATGGCAATGTCTCATGCAAGTCTGTATCAAGAACCTGCACGAGGAAGGCCCAAGGGCCAGTGGTGGATGCTGGAAAGCCTAGCTGGTGGGTGAAGGCTCTGTGCCACACCAGCTGAGGGATCTGCACTGGGCCAGGCAGTGACACTGATGGAGAGGACCAGAGCCCCCCTGATTGGATCAGCAGTCGCTCCTAGTGACAGCGAGGCCCCCAGCTCCTCCTACGATGAGAGAACAGCCAAATGCACATCAGGGAAACCACTGCAGCAAACTTCTCCTAGAAAACCAACAGCCAGAGGCCTTCCCCTTCAGTTTTCTTTTTATGCCAGTGGCAACAGTCCTCAGGTGGGTCCTCCATGCCCCAACCATGCTGACTCAGTTCAGCTGGACGCTCCACGTTGACCATTGCTCAGTCCACCCCAGATACCATTGGTTTGCATTCCCTTAGCCTTATCTTGCAATCTTCCTCAGCTTTTGTGATAGCCTAGGCTGTGTGTGTATATTTTGACGTTTTCTACATAAAGTGCATGTGGTGTGTGAATATGGCAGTTTAATCCTTTTTCTTTTCCAATCTGGGTGTCTTCATTCTTTATCATCCTCATCACCGTACTTCTCCTCCTCATCTACATGTAGAACTTCCAGTGCAAGTCAACAGAAGCACCAGGATCACACTTTCTTGCCTTATCCCCAATCTTTGGAGGAAAGATTCAGTTTTTAGCAATTATGACGATGTTAGCTGTGAGAGTTTTGTACATTCCCTTCATCAGGTAAGAAATTTCCTTTCTGTATCCAAATTGTTATGAGTTTTTATTATGAATGGATGTTTGAATTTTCAGATACATGTTCAGCCTCTGTTGTGATCACGTGGGTTTTGTCTTTTATTCTTTTACTGGCTTGTATTGCATGATAGAAATTTGGATATTAACGTCATAGGCGTTAGCACTGCAGCTGTAAGTAAGGTCGACTCTTCACATATTTCCGTAGATCAGTTGTGTGAAGAGACAACAAGCTCAGATGATGTCAGATGATTTATTACTTGAACAACAAAAGCAAGACCAGCATGAGGTCAGCTCCCCACCCTCAGTCCCACAGGGTGACATCACAGCACAGGCTGTGGTCCCTCTGTCATGGGGAAGGGGCCGCCAAACCTCATCCAAACACTTGTACATACTTCCAGAGAAACACCAGCTGTGCCCCAAGGGAGTGGTGCTGAGCAAGTGTCTCACTCAGCTGACCAGGGAGATGGCTGGAAGCTGTACTGTCCCTGTCTCTCACCACGTAGACTGAGAAACTCTGGACCACAGGGTGCCAGGGTGCAGAGGAGCCCTGGTGCACTGACGGGACTGCGGGGTAGACTGAGTCAGCCTTCCCTACAGGCACAGGCAGCCTACAGAGTCAAGGGTGCACAAGGGCACCAGGTGCCTCAGCTCGGGCTTCTCTTTGTGGGTGGATGTTAGAGCACCAACTCAGTTCCTTTACTTAACATAAATCTATCCAGACTTCTCTTTCTCCTCTGATAGAAAACATTTCTGTAATCAGCTTTGATAATTTCTTTGTTTCTAGAAATTTATCTATTTCTTTAAAGTCAGCTAATTTATTGGTATAGCACTAGCTTGCATTTGGTTTTTTTCTGGAAAAGTAGTATGAGTGCCACCCCC